CACACGGGGTGTGTGCCTGACAGTGTGGGGACAGCCTGGCTGCCAGCCCTGCCACAGGGGTATGTGATGGCTCATTTTACTGCAGGGCCAACACAACACCCAGACACACTCAGCAGCTGTAAATTGTATGCTGACTGCTAAGTCAGCCCTACTGACTTCAGCTCCTCCAAGGAAGGAACAACTGCCAGTTGTATTCAGGGTAGGATTTCAGGGGTGGGTTTTTTTTTTCCCATAGGAGCACTGTGACAATGTATAATGCTGAGATACACTCCATCTCAGCACTTCAAAATACTGAAGAAAAACTAAAAACTGAAGAAAAACTAAAGACCAAAAAGGGTGGACAGTGAAGCAGTTCTATTTTTTCTTGTTAATCTTGCTTCCCACAACCCACATTTCTACTCCAGTACAACATTTTGTCATCAAAAAAATCCTTCCCAGGGACTTACAGTAGCAAGGGTGTACAAGTTGGGAAAGGTTTTTGTAGGGTAGACAGGTCGCATATAAGGAGAATGCGTTCCACAAGATCCTGAAAAATCAATACCAAATGCAAACATGAGGAAACGAAGTTCTCAGACACAGAAAACAAAAACAGAGGAAGCAACTTCTGTGACTCAAAATGATGCAGAAACTAGTTAAATTTTAACCAATTTAAATGAACATTCTGCTGCTTAGCAGTGGTCAGCAGTAGGGGCAGTGGTAAATCTACTCATGCACTCTTTGCACTCCACAGTAAACAACTGAAATAATGCAGCCAGATGACTACTGAACCAGCTGCATTCCCATAGACTGTTTTCTTTTCTGAGCTAGTCTCTATCCAGAGTCATTGGAAATATTTTGTTAAGTAAAACAATGTTAGAAAACACAGGTTTATTTTAAATAATAAATACACTAATGCTGCAGTTTCACAATGCGCTTTGACCTCAGTCCCCACTAGAATCATTTAGACTGGAAAAGACTTTTAAGATCATTGAGTCCAACCATAGATGACTACACAAATACAAGGGGGAAGAAAACCCAACACCTTTCAAGGATATGGGCACACACACAAACACCATGCTATAGAAAGAGGTTTAAATATGCAGTGCATCCAGTATTCCACAAACCCAGGTGGATGTCCATTCCCCCAGAGGTGAGTGCAGGGCATGTCCCCAGCCAGTTAACAGGCATCCACCACAGCTCCTACAGTCAGTTATCCAAACCTCTGACATTTCTGAATCAAGGGGACAATTTTGTGGGCACCTCCCAGCTGGTTTGTAAGAGTGCATGATACATATCATGTACCAAAGATGCACTTCTTTGCTGACAAAACCACATGAAGGTCACCAATTCTGAGCAGCATTTCCCAAACCAGCAGCTCTTCCCACTCTTCTGTGTACATTTAACCAGGTTGCTTTCAAGTCGCCAGTTGATACCATCTAAACCAAAGGGGACTTCTGCCATTTCAGCTCCATGCTGACCTTCCGTTGCTCAATGAACAAACAACTGGGCTGCAAGAGACTGTCTGTCATTCATTGTAAAAAAATAGATGTACTCACTCAGTTTTTCAATATTGGGCATGACCTTGTTCCCTTTCTTCATATATGATGCACGGAAACCATCAACAGAGAAGATGATCAAAGGAGGACGAACAAAGCTAGAAGCAAAAGCAGCAGGAGTATAAACCAGCATTTCAAAACATTTTTTTTTTATTTCCACTTACTCACTGGGACTCCAGAGAATCTGAAGTACAGTTACTGTATATACTACATGTCTATAATCCTTTGCGTACTTAACAGACCGGCAGAAGCTGATAATCCTCACACTTAGTAATACCCAGTGCTCACTCACAATCAGTGAAAGGACTGATATCCAACCTAAAAAACATCTTCCCTGAGCAGTTAAAAACATATAACCCATAAAGGCAAGTGCTTATAGAAGGAGAGGTAAAAGGAAAAAAAAATAATATTCATGAGTACCCACCCTAGCACACTATCTGTAGTTAAAAACCACATCACATGACAGCTGGTCTTCTCTCTTTGCAAACAGAAGTCTGTGTAGCATTTTGAGTGAACTCTGTGAGGCATAGCTCACCCTCACATACTAAAGATGATAGTATCTCATGTTATTTTATTTTTTTTTTATTTGCTATTGAGAGTTGATTGCAAGCAGGCAAAGATTTGTCATGGACGGACACACCTGGGCTTTTAGTGTTTACTGCTGCAGGGGTAAGCAGCTGCCACTGTCACCAAGAGAAGCTCCTCCAAACTATCCTCCTAACAGCACAGGCTGAGCTGCAACCCAACACAGCATCTGAGCAGATGCTTACCTTTAGGGATAATAGAGACAACTGGTTTCAAAAATGCTTACTTTTTCATGTGCTCAAATTCCTCACTAAGTCAAGTCTATATCCCATTGCAAGTTAGAAATCCTTTCATTTAGGAGCATAACACCAGGAGTAATAAATTCAACTTAAAAAAAAAATGGTCTGAACTGTGTTCACATGTGGCTTAACATGAATTTTACTGCAAGCAGAATGACATAAGCCTTCCTACTGACTTCAAATGACTCTGGTTACCTTCGCCATGTAAGTGAAGCAGGAAAGCTCAGCAGCAGGTGATCAAAGACCAAGAGTTCAAACCCATATTTTATGCAACACTACTCACCCAGCAGCTTAAAGGCAAATGTTTTATGATATTATGAGCTTAACTGCACAAATGGTGAAGCTCAGGAAAGCATCCAACCCACAGCCATTCAGCCTGCAGGGCCACTGCAGAAGTGTGGTGGGCAGAGCTGGGGACCACTGGCTGTGCTTCGTTTGGCTTTGTAGTTGGATGCAAAACACTTACCCTGCTGGACACTCAGGAGCCTTTATCTCTTCACAGTCATCATCCACCCAGTGGGTTTCTCCTGCCAGAAAAGACACATGGGAGTTTCAAAAAACCGAAAAATTAAAAAATCTGTGGACAAAGCTATAGGTTTCACAGAAAATATATATTTAAAAAAAAAAATCAAGTCTAGCTCCAGTTAACAGACTGTCTTGTTATACTTTCCATGAATAACGAGCATGTCTTTTCACAAGGCTGAACAAGTGATCTGGTTATATTCTATTCAATAAAAATATTCAAACTAGCACTCCTACAGGTAGCTCTTAAAACTGGAGTTAAAAGCAGTTCTGACTGCAAGAGTCAGTGGTAACGCTTTAGTCACAGTGGTCATCTATTTTAATTTTTTTTTTTTTTTACTTTTGATGTGTCAAAAACAGGTAGTGCTGCTTCTGGCTGTGAATTCTCACCCTCCTTCCCCCAGCTCTGATGTCTCCATGAGCTGATTCAGCTGGCTAAAGGCACAAAACAAAATTCATTCTAGGGAAGAAAAACAACTCTAAATAGTTTCCACCTTGTTTAGAGAGCTGATCAGCTCATGGATCAGGTGAGACCCAGGTTAAAAAAAGCATTAATACTCCTTCAGAGCTAGATTAGTTAAAATCTTCATGTAATCAACTATTTTCTTAAGGTTTTCACTGCTGAATGCTGACTATAGAGTGGCTCATGACTTGCACTTTCACAGGACAATTGAAAAACAAATTATTAACTAACAAGCCTTCTTCCTAAACCTGGCACTATTAAAGGAACTGCAGTTCAATGAAAAGAACAAAACAAAAAACATCATAGAAAAAAACTACAGGAAATGTGTGCTGCAAGCAATTCCAACTGACCATGACAGGAGGTGGAGGGACAATTTCCAAGAAAAAAAAAAAAAACAACCAACACACTATCCTCAGAAAGGCAAAGGCATGAATAAAGAGGAAACACTGTTCTCACATAAGGATTACTCCTGTCAGAGTTCCAGGGTCGTTCAGATAATTTGTTATTAGCCAATTAAACAAAGATTATGTACATTAAAGCTGGAGATGTAAATTCCTCTGTCTTGACCCTTGTGAGAGGAAGCTCACAAAAAAGGCAGGAACTGAAAACATAAATAGTATTTAAGTGGTCTCAGCCTCGGGTTTCTTTGAGAAGGGGAAGAACAATCTACAGGGATTTGTTGGAAAATACATATTTCACTTGGATTCCCAACAGCTAAACCCAAGTAAACAAAAAAGCCCATTTTCAGTGTATGGATCTGGAACATTATCATTCTGTGAACATACACAGTTGTCCAAAATGGTGTGGAAGAAACAATTTCAAACTGTAACCCTTGCCCCAGTAAAGTTAATGAATGAAAAAAAACTAAGAACTAGCTGAGATACAAAAGCAGAACCTGTAAAGCTCATTACCAAGGATCAGAAGATCTGGTCTGAATGGCAGACACACTACACAGGCAGTAGATGCTCTAAAAGAGCAGAGCAGTGGATGAAAGTTAAGCTTTCACAGCCCATCCACCTGCCAACCAGTGTGGGGTGTTCTGTAGCCATGGTGTGTCATGATCGTCTGAAGCCCATGTCACCCACCTGCGAGTAACAGCCCTTGTATTTTTGCAACTCCTCTCCCACAAGAAACAAAGCCTACAGGTGTTAGGCCAAATAGTTTGAGCAGGAGCTTTTGTGGTGGGGGTGGAGAAATGTCTTCGGGTCAGAGATAACATATCTAGGAATGCTCCATTCCTTCTGAGACCATCAGATATCCCTGCTCTCCCTGTGATGCAGACAAATGCATCTGAACACTTTACAGTTTTGCTTTAAACTCTTCATCCTCCTACGCCTATTCTCTTTCTATAATTTTAATTCTAAAGGCAGAGATAATGTCCTTCTACGATCAACAAATTGTACATATTTTTCTCTGCTAGTATCCAGAAAATTACAAATTCAATTCCCCATTCTCCACCACCCCACTCTCCCCACCCCAAAAAAAAAAAAAAAAATCAGAACAAGGAGTGTTCTTCCTTTAGAAGAAAACCCTTTACCCACAGGGCTGCCTTCTATTGGGTTTGGAAAGATAAAAGGAAGAAAGACTAAAGACGTACCTTTGCAAACGACTTGGTAATTAGTACAACAATCTCCTCTACTTAAGCAGTCTTCAGAGCAGTGACAAGCATTGTCATCATTCCTGGTTTCTCCACAACGATCTTTGGTACACTCCCAGCCCCGAGCTACAATATTCACATTGTAAGAAAGAACGAGAGATTGTAAGCAAAACAAAGTAGCAATTCAAGCCACAATGACAACGCTCTAGTCGTTAAAATTGGGTGTAAAGCTTATGGCCCCATTTTAGCGATTTCAAGACCTCTGAAGTATGTCAACCAAAACCAAAAAGGACTCGTGATTTGCAAGTTCAGGAGAGCTCCTCCACCCAATACACGTGTATTTTGCTACCCTCCGGTGTTGTATTTCAGGCTTTGTACAATCTGGATGCCAGAAGTAGTGTGTAAAGAAAAGACAAAAAGGAATCTTGACAGATAAATGGTGGGGCCTGAAGCACAAACTAAGAATCATGGTATTTCTAGGATGATCCTTTCTTTTCCTCACAACTACTACAATCCCCAGCTCAATCCACAGAAAATAAGAGAAAGTAGGAAAGAGATTATGTCGATGCAAATTGATGCCTTACTCCCATCAGTTCCTCACTCACAGTGCAAGATTCAGCATCAACTGAAAAGTTTCGAGAAAACAAGAGTTGTTCTTCCAGTAAAACACTCCAGCTCTTCTTATCTTGCAAATGAAGTTAGGATCTAAGGGCCTGTCTAAATCGAGTGCTCTTTCAAGGGTGGTACATTGCTATATTTTGGAACAGGGCCTATGGTTTTAAGGATGATTTTGCACATCCAGGCCCAACAAAGAAACTTCAAAAATCAGTTTAGACAACATCCACCCAGTAAAAAAACCACATCATATCAGAGAAATGTCTTTTATCTTATTTTCTCCTTCATTTGGGGCTTTTTTTTTCTGTAAGTAGGTAATATTTACAGATTATACATGTGATAATTGCCTGAATAAATGCCTATGGGGGTATATGAGAATTAGCACAACAGTTCCAAGTGCTGTGCAGGTACTCATACATATATGTGAACATGTGTCTGCTGCAGACAGGAGACTTGAAAAAGTGAAAATCCACCCTTTGGTAGCAGACATCTTGCTGAAGCTGAAAGTCTTCAAAAAGAGCCTCTCATTCTGCAGTCATTTACACCGGGGGTGAAACAGCATCAGTCTAAAATCAGAAGTTTTTTGGCCTGGAACTAAAGTTGTTTTTCATACCAGATTAGCTCACCATTTTTTGGTACTGAGCTATGAAAATTATATATTCATAAACAGAGTTGAGGAAATCAGGACTTTTAAACATGGCACAACCATGGGCAATGATATATTTAATCATCAGACTTCTCTTCTGGCTGCTTAGTGTAATACTTCAATAAAGCAAGAAAAAGTTTAATGGCAAAAATAAAAGGCACGTGTGCCAACTCTGACCACTGTGCAAAAACTCAAAAAGAAGGGTATAACTAATAATTTAGATGCACTATGCTGAGAAGAAAAATATAATTTGTGGCCGTCTTCGACGTTTTCCTTGACTATGACTCAAGGTGGGGGGGGGAAAGGCAAAAAAAAGAAGAAAGTGAACACATGGCTGTATTTCCATCCCCCGAGGTCCAATAAATTGAAGTCAAATGTTTCTACCAGAGCATTATAAGCATCCTGAAAACGGGAAATCAGAGTCTGGGGCACGGGTAACAAGCCCAGGCTGTCATCTGAGGCTTGCTCCAAGAAGACCCACACTCCTTCAATGCTCCCAGCTTCCAAGGCACCTTCATGCCACAAATGAGCCTCAATTGCACCAATATTAAGTTATCACTTGGGGGAAAAAAGGATGGCTGACACAAAATGACCAACCTCCAGTTTTTACCACAGCTTTTAATTGTAGCCTAGAGGTCAAACTGGTGCCTGAACACTGATTATTGCTTTTAATTTAGTACCAGAAGATCTACTTTTCATATAATATGAACAGTACCCTGCTTTTTCTGCCCCTCCCCGAAAGAAACAATAGATGCTCATTCCTACTGCTCCTTTCAAGGAAACATGGGCTGCATTCTGGCTGAGCTGAGCCTGCCCAGCAAGGCGAGGTGAGGAGGAGATGCAGGTTATGGCAGGGAGCGAGGGTTTATCAGGTAGGTCCTGACCACTGGCAGGAACCAGGTGTCAGCAGCACCTGGCAGTGCAGGACAGGAGACCCATCATACCTGTCTTCAAGCACAGCTCATCAAAGTCGAAGCAGCAGCTGTTGTAGCTCTTGCACAGGTTGTCACAGCGGCAGCCAGGAGGCTCTGCCTCTTGAAGTTCAAAGCACCTGTTTTTGCAGGAGCCAGAGGTACTGATCCAGGGGGAATCTGACAGGACTGTGTGAACAAGAAACAGGGCAACATTTGTCAGGACAGGTAGCTCAGCCCCAAGCCACTCAAAGGAGCAAAACCTCAGATTCTTGCTCTGGGAAAGGGAAGGAAGCAGGGAGAGGAAAAAGACTGCTTGAAGAAATGAAGGGAAAAAAAGAACAAATTCCAAAAGAGTTGTTCTTTTGGGGGAGAAAAAAAAATAAAGGAAGCAGCATGCTGTGATAACATCCTGCAAAGAAACAGCCCTGGCTTTACCTCTGTAACAATCAAGAGATCATTAGCAGAAACGTATTGAAGTCTCCAAAGCCCCATTCCAGGAGCTGTAGTTATTCCACAGAAGCAGGCCTTTGTTTTCAGAAACCAAGTGACATTTTCATGGCTGGCTGGTCAGTTTGCATAGGAAAGGACTCCAATTAATCTACATGCAACAGCAGGACTTGGTTTGCTATACTGGAAGGCGTCAAATCAATGTGAAGCAGGAAAGAAAACTTTAAGATGCTCTATAAATTAATGGAGAAATAAAGCAAGGCTTTTTGACGAGATTCTGCAGAGCACTAAATTATAAAAAATCCAGAAATGCAGAAGTATTTAAGAAATTGATATATTATTACATGTGTAAGTAAATGGAGGACTGCCAATCTGAAAGCCATGTATTAGACTTCAATATTCTATTAGTAAGGGTCCTTAAAGTCAAAGCTGATATGCACGTATCTGCTGTTTTCTCAAAACTTACTGTTTTGTACTCTTTAAATATTTTCAAAGTTTTTCCTATAAGAGAATCCTACATAGCAGCTTATACAAAACAGGAAAATTGTGTGTTGTTCTCGAGGGTTAATTGCATTTTATGAAATAAAATGACTAAGTTATGCTATCCTTTAAATACAAAGGTGTCCCAAGGAAAATTTCACAATACCTTTTGTTCCTTGAGAGACCTATTAAAATTAAGTATTTGAAATCATCTTGGTTTTGTTTTCTTTTAGGTCATGGTTTGGCTTTGGGTCTGGTAAACCTCACCATGATTAGCAGTATGATTTTAAGAGGACTGACACAATGGCATTTTTGGGAAACAGCTGCTCTGATATTTTCTTATATATTTTTCCCCTTACACTTTTAAATAGCTGAAAGTTCAGTCACTACATAAACTGAAGCAAAATCTCTTCCCAGATAAGATGGCATTAACCAAACACTATGAGAATGGATGGAAAAACGATAAAAGAGGAGTTCAGAGGTGCCATTGTAGTAGCTGATGTCTCATCAGCACCCATCCCCAGCACTACTGCTCCCCCACTTCCCTTGGAGTAGCACTGGCACTGGTTGGACACCAGCATGAACCACTTCAGGGAATAAACCTGTCAGCAAATCAACCCTACAGCAAGATTGTAGGTGAGAACCCCAAACCTATCATGTTTGCACTCATGGATTATGGCAAGGCATGCTCATATGACTGCTTTAAGACAGTAGCAGACAACTGCGTCTCTCTGCTTTTGTGGTTTGTTTTTCTCAACCAGGTCAGCAATGCTCAGTGAGAGTAACATTATACACTTAGTTAAGTTTTGCTCTACCCTGCAAGCATGTTCTTAATGAGACATCAATATTTTGGCCATCTGAAATTCCAAGGACCTAAATGTTGTGTATCTGTGCTGGCAATACAAAGACCAGTGTTTTCTTTGCTCAAGTAAGTAGGTCACAAAGCCATGTTAGAAATTAATCACATGAGAATTGTTTCAAAGCATGCTAATAACTCAAACTTTCAGAGCTATGAAGCCTTCTTCCTTATTTTTAATGACAGATGCTTCCTATCAAATGCTTCTGAAAATCTGTTACCAAAAAATATTTTCATGTTATTTAACCTCTTCCACTACTTTTTCTTTTGGAAGCCAGATAATATAAGCTTCAAATCAAAGTATTGTGAACTTGAAGGTATTACATACTAGCATATAACCCTTACACTGGCATTACCCTCTTCCTTTCAAAGGACAGAGAAGGAGATCTTATCAGAAGGTAAAAAAATCCACATGTCAACATGTGTTTAGGAAAGAGAAGGTGTAAATCTGACTGCAGATTACATAAGAGACAGTTAACTGCAGCTCAAGGAATGTCTACCTGTTGTAAAGAGCAGCTCATCTATCAGGAAACCACTGGAACAAATTGCCCACAGAGGCTGTGCAATCTCTGAGCTTGGAGATTTTGAAGAACAGGTTAGGCCAAGATCTGTCAGGATCACTTCAGTAATAACTGACCATGTCTTGGGATATGAAGAAGGTCTACATAGCTGTTCAAGGTCCCTTCTAGCTCCATCTTCTATAACTGCAAGTTTCCATTTTATGCAAGAAAGGTTTAGGCCACTACCTTGTCTGTTATTTTCTCCTATCTCTTGACAACCATCTCATTACTAATGTGACAAATTATCCCAAATCACTCAGCAAATTCAAGTCACACCTCCTGAGTCAATGCAGGACACTTTCTATACCACAGCACAAAAGAGGACTTGCTAAATTTCTCTCAATATAAGATCACTCCTTTGTTTATCATGCTTGACCTTGCCTTTGCAGCCAGACCATGCTTTTCAGGTCGTGCACAATGCCATGGCAGGGGTACTGGTGCATGCAAAATAGTCTGAAAATATATCAGGAGCTCCATCCGTGGTGAGCACTTTCAAACTAGGAGAAACCCTTGTACAGAACAAACTTACACAGTTTAAAAGTCCTTTTCAAAATTCCTGCATCCCTCCACAGCTCCTGCCGTCAGACTGTGCAGCAGGCAGAGGGATCTCAGCATGAAGATTCTCCCCTCCTTATTTAAAACATAAAGCCTTTCACATCCTTTTCCATACATTCTTTTTTTGGCCAACCAAGCTCAAAACAATCATCTAATTGTCTTTTACATCATAGGTTAGAGACCAAAGTTACATAGGGCAGTAGTGCCTTTGTGATTTAGTTCATGGGGATTACTACATTTTCATTGTAAAGGTGTTATCTTAGAAGGTACCGTATCAAATTACTTCCTTTGACTCTGATTACAATATCTTTTAAAAAAATCATATCCATTTATTTTCAGTAGTATTTAAGACATAAGACAATAGAGACATGGCTACACAGTCATTACAGGAAGGAGACTGCCTGGTAACAATCTGCCATTTTGGATCCTATGGATCCCATATGGAACCTATATGGAACAACCAAATGATTATGCAGAACGTTTGGAGCTTCAATATTGCCACATAATATTCATTTTATGAACTTGCATTTCATTTTCGCAATGAGTAAAATTTCAATGAAAAATCAGAGAAAGAAAAAAAATATATCCTAACTCCAGTACGAGAAAGGTAAGACTCCATTTCTAATGACATGTTAAAAATCCATTGAGAAGGGATAGAAAAACTTCAGTGTATCTCCTTCCAAAGTGTAAGTTATCCTATCATGACCAAGAAACACGCTTCAAGAGATTACTAAGGCCATTTTCTCCAAAAGCGCTTACAAAGCGCAAAAAGCAAATAACTTACAAAAGCAAAGTTGTGAGTCTTGGTTCTCTTATGTCTTCAAGAAATTTTAGGTAAAAAAATTATTTCAATTAAATAATTTGTTGGGTACAAATATTAAACATCTCAAATGTATAAAGACATACATCTGTACACTGTAAAAAGAAAACAAGGTGGGGTAGGTATTATGTGATACTTTGACATGCATTTATAAGCAACTAGGAAAAAAAACAAGTTGGTTTTGGCTCATAGCAGAGTTCTACGCTAGATGAAAACTAAAATTTGTTTATAATCATGGCATACCTCTGGAGAAATAACAAATTGTCTTCCACAGTAATGTTTGGTAAAGACTTTTATCAATCTAAATAAATTAACTCTTAACACCAAGAAACTTGGAAATAAATAAGCCAAGGAAGAGTGAAATTGAAAAATAATTATACCAATCTTTTGTTCTGGATATGTAATTGCACTGGACTTCTAATGAAGTATAACTGGAAGTAATTTTTACTGTCTCCTTTAGACAGATATAACTACAACACTTCATTATTTACTATCACTTTTTTTTTCCTGCAATGAAAGTAACCAAGCTTCATAAACACAGAATGGACAAAACTTTCCATTACTTTTGTCTCTCATTGTAGCAACCTGGACTTGACTACTTCAATGCCAGGTGCAGGTCCAATCTCACCTGTAAGCAAATTCTCAATACACTTCCAAAAATACCTCATCTCCTGCCCTTTTGCAAGAGATCCTGTATTTCTTCCTACTTTTCTGTAATGCTGATCTAATCCTCCTGCTGCTGGAAACAACACACGGCTACTAATCCCAGCCCTGACGGTGTTGAACGGTGCTGGTTGGCTCAGCCGAGCTGGCACCCGATCGGCTGCAATGGGTCCCCAGTATCAGACCTTTGGAACTTCAGTAAAAGCCAGCTCTGAGCAGCTCTGCCCGAGACAATCACTAGCGAATCAAAGCAGCTGGTAGTCAGATGTTGAACGCTTGAAACGCAAATCCTTTGCATTACTATTACACACACTACACAACTACTCTGCAGTTAACATACTAAAAGATTAAAAGCAAAACAAAACAAAACCTGTTTTTCAAACATTTTTTAAACTGATATAAAGATCAAAGGCAACAGACACTATCTTTTTGATTACCTAAAACGCCTCTGCTCAGTGATCAGCAGCCCTGATTGTTGCTGTGATTAGACACCAATTCCTGTCAAAGACGGGGGACAGAAGGACACAGATACATTACCAGGAACACAACGAACTCTGGCCATGGTAAACCATTTTATAATTAAAATTCACAAGCTATCATTACAGACGGGCACTGCAAATGAAACCCTTCCACTTCAATTACGTTAACCATCTCTAAGTCAATGACCGCAGGTTTTGTTTCTCCTGCCAAAGGAACAGAGGCACAAGTCAAGCCTGGGGTTTTTTGCCCCTTTTTTTTTTTTTTTTTAGGAAAAAAAAGGACTAGTTTTTTGGTTTATACATTTTTCCATTTGGAGTATGTCTGAGCTCACAAAATCCTGTATTGCCCCAGAACACAAACAACAGTTCCTTTTGTGACATGTTCTTACTGTCTTCCAAAGAAAAAAGTAAAATGCACAAGAAAAACAGAGGACTCAGTGACAGCACATCTGCACGAACACCTGCTCTCCTCTCCCGGCCCTCTCCGCCGTCAGATGTCTGCCGTCTACTGTTCACAAACCAGCATGACCTCAGGAGCCACAGAAATCCCAAAAGCTTTTCTCACCAGCGCCTCTTGAAAGCTTTCATCAAGTTTCTAGAAACCGCTTCAATAGCTACCAAAATAAACCTAGTACCCTTAAACCCATCAGGGAGTTTCTCTTAGCACTAGAAGGAAACTGTGCAGAGCACAAAACATGCCAAACGCTTCAGAGGAGCTGATGAGACCGATCTCTGTGAGACTGAGAGTGCTCAGTCCTACAACAAGCTAAATTTTCCATAGTCACATGCACACAGAGCAAAAGTTTAAGTAAATAGGAGACCTATAGGTGAGTCCCAAAGGTCAACTGACTCGGGCTCTGCGAGTTATTTATTCTTCTCTATATCCTAGAGGGAAAAGGAACAAGCAAACTACTGTTACGGAGTAGGAATGGTTTCTAACCACAGCCTATAACATAAGGGTATACCGATGCACAATTTAAGTCCGTTACTGTACCTGAGACCGGCCCCTCATCCCATTCTTCGGATCTCCTAAATCGATTTGTTGTAAATCCCATGCAGACATTTACTCCAAAGGCAAAAGCAAACAAGGATATAACCTGCAAAAGTAAAACAGCAAAGTAAGAGAACTGTGCAAGAAGCAGGACTTTCGTGCTAAGAGCATTAGGCATAAAGGGTAGAGATGGTCCTCTGTACATTCGAGCTCCCCAGCACTGCAGTTCCCATCACTGGAGCAGCAGCTGACAGCGTCACCGTTGGAGAGTAACACAAACCAGAAGGGGTTTATGAATAAAACATCTCTTTCTGAAGCTGAAACGCTCCTTTTTGTAGGAACTTATTCAGGACAGACGGGCTGCTACTCCTCCTCTAAAAGCAAACACGCTCCTCTCCTCCCCTACCTGGTGCGAGTGGACGCAGCCCTGCTTAGCCATACCAGGGAATTCTTGAAAAGCCTACGCCGCACCGTCGCCTTTTTTTATAGTGAGCGCAGAGCTCTGTTTGCTCGGGGAGTTCGGGCTATTAGCTACGAGTAATCCCACCTGGTGAGGTTGACAGGCTCGTGTGATTTGTCCAGGGGGTGATTTCATCATGTTTCACTCACAAATCGCAGCTCCGAGTGCAAGAAGCTCCAGGCATCATCCCCTGGCTGCGCCCTCCCCCCAAACACACACCCGCGCGCTTTTATGTGGTTTGCTCTGGCAGAGCTGGGCTTGCTTGTGCCGCGGCGGCCAATAGCTCCTCCTGCTCGTTTTATTCTCCTCACAAAAGTAACATGGTTAAAAGAAAAACCAAATGCGTTTCCATCTGGCTCGAAGAAGAAGAGGGGGAAACTCACTGGGGGCTGCGAAGTGAAAATATCCTGATGCCACCCTCAAAAGTGCCCCGGTGTCAGGTGTGACAGTGCGGTGGGCTCAGTCCCCGCTGACCCCTCACGGTTGGGCGGGTTTGGGAGCTGGGGGACCCCTTTCCTTCTCCACGGGTGCTCCTCAAATTTCTAACTGTGCTGCAGAGCAGAGGCCTCTCAAAACTGGAGACGCTTTCAGAGCACAGGGTATTTTTCAACGTTGTTCTCCCGTGCTGCTGTGGCAGGGCAAGGCTCGTATCGATGGAAACACAAGCGGTTCCATCTGAATAGCTGGAAACCCCAGACTTCCAGAAAGGAAGGGAAGTGACACGTTCCCTCTGCCCCACATTCCCCCATTTTCATCAGCAACCGAAAGCTTGGTTGTTTGGATAAGCACTTTTATTTACAAAGCAAATGATAATGCTGAACAGAATTAAGGTTGAAATCAGTGGCTTAAATATTATTTGCCAAGGCAAATTATTTACCAGTGTAGTTTGCCACTTTTTTTTCTCTGATGAAAGCTTCTTTCATGAAAATATTTACTAACAATTACATTTAAAGGGACAGAGTCGAGGTTTGTAAGCCCTCAGATGGACTGAGCTTCTCTTGGGACCGGTCACATATTCTATACTGGCATTAAGAGACAGTTTTCTTTAAATTAACTTGCAGTAATAAACACATACAATTTTGAGCTTTGTTTAGAGGTACCTTTTACCTGCTGCAATAACTCCCCTTCCCCACTGTGTAGCTTTACAGGACAGAGTCTAAAAAGTCTTTCTCTTCGCTGGCCACATCTCATCAGCTTGCCAGCCTTTGCCAGGAGATGATCCTTTTTTATGCAATTTCTTAACCGAAAGTGGCTCCATTGTGTAGCTGAATCTTTGCATTGCAAGGCTCGGGGCAATGTAATTAGCCCAAAAAGACCTTCATCTTAGCCACACCAGGACATTGTATTCCTTTCACTTGCAAGGACTGAGACTGTGAATTCAAGACCTATCTTCTAATGTCCACTTCACCACTAGCTGGGCTGAAAAAAAAATAGGCAATAGGCAATATTTTTCTAGCAAAAATCTGAGCATAGAAGTCTAGAGAAAAGCAATGATCAACAATGTTACTATCTGTTCCTGTGAAATTCTTTGCCCTTAGCCTCTGGTATATCCTGTGGTTAAACAGTTTCATCCCCAAGCACTAGGTAAGTACAGCAGTGTGTGATCACAGCAGACAGGAAACCTAAGGTGCCACAAGTAAAATTGCTCAGTGGTGTTGCCTATGTATCTCAGCTAATGAAGCTCATGATTTCATGGGCAAAATATGGAAATCAGCAGCCCCAAGCTCTCCTCCAGCTTGGGACCCTCAGATTACTGAGGAACCTAGGCAAAACACAAATGAATTTTCAAATCAGGTGGCCAGTTTTGAGTGTCCAAGCCAATACATCCAGTCTCATTTTCAGAGATCCAGAGTCTTCGCTGTTCCTGCATGTCTTCCTAACGTACAGGTCTTCAGTTCTCTTGAAAGAAAATTCCTACATATGTTAAAAATGGCCACCTGGAAAAATAAAGCAACAAACAAAACCAAGAAATACAGCATCATGCATGACTTCTACTGATTTAAAAATACATATTGCATGTTTCCATTTGTGTAACCTCTCTGGAGCTTGTAAACTTCACGACTTTACGTAATAGAGGAGCTCATTTTGTTTTCTGGTCTATGTTACAAGTATATTAAATTAATTAAATCCTTTGTAATGTCCTTTAGAAATGTAGGTGATGACGACTCTGAAACTGCTAATCTTTTTCATCTGTGTAATGTAAGACACGTTTTCCAGTAGCTCTCAACTGAATATACACTCAGATGCACAATGTTCTTTTTGTCACAAAGATTGTGCCTGAAGCCATCCTACAGATGCAGAAGGAACTTATTAGCATAAACAAGGTCTAATCATTTTGTTCAGGCAAAATTTCACTGCTGGGATCAGTGGCAATTAATTTTTTCAGCAACTAATTGCCGTTTTACTCATTAGAATAGAAAGGACTAAATAATATATTCCTGGCCCAATAATTCAGCAATTCAGTGCAAGTTTTAAGGCTTAAATGAAACACATTTAAAAGGAATTTTAACATGATCAGCAGAATATGAAATACCTCTTCATCAGTTATCGTGAATAAGAATTGACCTTTGGATTTTCTGGCTTCTATTAGACTGATTATTTAACTCTGGATGCAAAACTTCCAACCAGGCACCAGATGGCGTTTTACATGTGAAATTCATACTGTAACATTTCCACAGTTACAAACATTCACAGAATCGCAGTATTGTGTAGGTTGGAAAAAAACATTAAGATCATTGAGTCCAACCCTTAATTCGGCATTTCACGTCCACCACTAAATCATGTCCCCAAGTGCCACAAATTTCATGTCTTCTAAATATCTCCATCAGCTTCCCTGAGCAACTCGACAACCCTTTCCAAGAAGTTTTTCCCAATATCCAGTCTAAACCTCCCGTAGCACAACCTGAGGCCATTTCCTCTCATCCTATCACTTGGTACTTGGAAGAAGAGAACAAACTCCACCTGGCTACAGCCAGGTAGCTCTCAGAAAGCACTAAGGTCCGCCCTGAGCCTCCTTCTCTGCAGGATAAACACCCCCAGCTCCCTCAGCAACTCCTTCTAAGACTTGTGCTCCAGACCTTTCACTAGCTCCATTCCCCTTCTCTGGACACACTCCAGCCTCTCAATGTCCTTTTTGTAGTGTGGGACCCAAAACTGAATCCAGGATTCGAGGTGAGGCCTCACCAGTGCCAGATCACTTCCCTGGTCCTGCTGGCCACGCTATTTCTAATACAGGCCAGGATGCCATTGGCCTTTTTGGCCACCTGGGCACACTGCTGGACCATGTTCAGCTGCTGACCAGCACCCCCAGGTCCTTTTACACAGTTCAGCAAACTGACTGAAGGTGCCCTCAATCCCCTTGTACAGATCATCGTTAAAGGTATTAAACAGAACTGGTCCCAGTACTGAGCCCTGGGGAACACCACTTGTGACCAGCTGTTAATTGGATTTAACACCACCACCACTCTCTGGGCCCAGCCATCCAGCCAGTTTACTATCCAGTGAAGAGGACACCCATCCAGTTCATGAGCAGCTGATTTCTCCAGAAGAATGATACAGGAAATGGTGTCAAAGGCTATTCCATATTGTTAATATAATGGCCAGTCTTCGCGAGCGAAGATTTGGGAAAGGTCATTAACCCTTCGAGCCTGCGCAGTGGATTTTTTAGGTGAGACCCAGCGTGCGCTGAACTGAGCCCACCCTTTAATCCTGAGGTTCATCTGCCGGGGCCGAGCAAGCTTGGACAGTGGCAGTGAGGGTCTCAGAACGTAGGTTTGTTTAGAGTGACCTTCTCTTAGATGGATTGCCTTACCGCTAACGAGCTCCATCTGCCCAGGGGGCTGGGAATCGAACCCGGGTCACAGCGGTGAGAGTCCTGCACCCTAACCACTAGACCACCAGAGGCCCCATTGTTAATATAAGCAAGGCAGTATTTACAGTCTTATATGAAACTGATTTCTCTTGAGCAGTATTTTAATGAGAAAAGAAATGCAGAGAAATGAAGTATACTGGCCTAGTCAGAGGTCGGGGATGGAGTGTGCTCTAAAGAAATGAGCCTTCTTTGCTACTCCTCTCCACTTTGCCCTGGATGCTGGATGCAGCCACATCAGGTGATGGGTGGGGGGCAGGGTGAAAGCTCCAGTATGCTTGATGGCAGCATGAAAGGCAGAAAGGTGAAGAACTTCTCTGAAGCATCACAGAGCTCTCACCCTCCCAAACACAACTTCCACAAATAGTTGTGGCCAAGAAAAATGATTAGTTGAGTGAATGAAATAGCAGTTTCAAAGAACAAAACCTTGTTGGTTGGTAAACCATAGAAATTCAAACAGTGTCCAGATCAAATACAAGCACTGAGAAACCAAATGAACTTCCAGCAGCCAAAGCGATCATGGGAAGAGTCAAGTACTTTGCTGAAGACACCCTGAGTCTTTTCAACAAAATCAAAGAGGTACAACATAACAAGCAGAGCTGATTCCCATGTATAAAGGACTCTAAAACATATTTTTATCACAGAATCACAGAATGGTTAAGATTGGAAGGGACCACTGGATGTCATCTAGCCCAACCTCCCTGTTCAAACAGGGCACATTACTCCGGATTGTGAATATCTCTAAAGGAGACTCCACAGCCTTTCTGGGCAGCTTGTT